TGACATGTTTACTTTCAACTACAGAATTATTTGAATAGCTAGCCAAAACTATACAATACATAGAACATAACAATGTTTGTAGCTACAGCTGTAAACATCATGTGCTTTTCCTGTGACATATTTGTCACACTGTACAATACATTTGTGGCATTGTTAGTGAAACCATTTCAGAACAAGTTGGCACATGTCCACGTAGAATTAAACTTTGCATAAAGTATGCTTTTCAAAGGCACTCAACAAGAACTACTGCCGTAATCACCAAAATAATCATGCAAATTATAAAGATGTTGTTCTCAATTGAGCATATATGCCAAATTTGCTGCAGACTTGAGCGTTTTTGTCACGTGGAGCAATTACAAAGAGTATATAAATAGAGGCCAGGACTCGCATTGTTATCAGTGTTTTATGCTGTTCTATAATCATTCAGATTGGTTCTATTCTTTGTGCAGGTATGCATAGCCATTCACGTAGTCTGCTGACATTGTCACTGACAACCTCTTACAATGAGGTTTTAACATTGAGAAAACCATAGATAGAATGAACAGACCCAAGATTAAATCTATCCAAGATCCAGGAGGTGAGTACGCAGGTTTAATTTCTTTATTGATACATTGCAACAATTGTTTGAATTAATTATGTATGACAACAAATTATTATATCATTTATTTAATTATAGTGATTAGTACAAATAGGCAAAGTCTATATACATGTGGATCGTTCGTCAGCCTACTCGTCAGGAATAAGATACACTGAGCTGCACATTAGAGCATGTCACAATGTCTGTTCAGGAAGTTATGGTTGGATGAATGTGGATAAAAAGTTATGTACATGATGCTGTAGTTTGCGCTATCCAGTTTCCGCCCTAAACTATCATGTCTTTCGATCGATTCACTTAATTAATCAGTTCAATTAATCAAGAAATGCAGGAATGCCGGCTAAAAATGGATCATGCCAAGTATATACAGTGGTCAGAAACAGTTATATAAACAAGATTTTGACACATTGTTGTTTATGATCATTGTCATTTTAATACATTCAATTAAATAGTTCTGGTTATATAGTAAAAATACCTGCCATATTTTAAAATTGAATACAGGATCATATATTTGCAGTAATAACAATGTGTGAATGCAAATACATTCCATATGCTGCATTTGTTCTATTAGTAGTGCATACATTTAAGGTAGATAAATGCGGGCAATCAACTTAATAAGTAGGGTGAAAAGTTTTTCATAAATTTATGCTTCACATGATTATTAATTTTGTCACCAACTTTGCAGATTTTTTACCTGATGTGAAATATTTGTTTTGAAAAAAACTGCCTAAAATAACACAAAAATTGATATTTTTTAAACAATTTCCTTTGAAAGCCACAGCAGAGCATTATTTCAAATGCTTATTACACTGTCAATTTATTCTTATCAAGCTACTTCTCTGAATACCAGGGTGTTATAATTGAAATAAAGTAATCTGCACTGTCTAGTCCTTTACTACTAAAATACGGCATATACAACTTATATACAACATGACTGTTATTAATAATGTGAATTCAATGGTGCCATACCCTAAACTTTTTAGCTGTATTTGTTGAATATACAAAAATATTGTATTATATTCATTTTAAAATTATTAAATAATTACCATTTACCCTTTTTTTTGTATTTTTCTTTTAATTCTTGATTAATTTTGAATCTATTAAACATAATTTCCCAATTGTTACATGGCTTGACAATGATAACAATTTATGAAAAACCTTACGTACTTTAATTTTGTGAAAGGTAACAAGGGTTGACTTTAGTGTTTGAAAGGTTATTGACAATTCTAGTATATTGGAAAACTTTGGTCATAAATACTGAAACAATGTGTTAATGGTTGACAAGTCTGTAAAAGTTACATTGTCTGTAACATTTTGTTTTGAGATTGGAACACAAGGAAAAAGGAATAGATCTGAAAGGTATATGGCTTTATGAGCTTAACCCAAATCAAAACATGACACATTTCAAGGTTTATTGACTATAAAGATGTTGTTGTCTTCACTACAATAAATCCTGTCATGCATTGCTGCTTTAAATCCCGCTTTGGGTAACTAACTTGGAGAAAGCAAGTATGTTGTTCATTGTTCAAAATTTTCTCAAGTGCTTTGGCAACTTGAGTATAAAATTGTCATTTTATAAATTCTGAAGCACTTTACAGGAAACAGATCTGGTGTGCATTGCAAATTGTTTTAAAGGGAAATGATTCCCTTCGAGATTTGATTTCAAATCTACAATCAGAAAATACTGAGTGATTCAGTGACTTGATATGAATGTATAAGATCCTGAAAATTCAATTCCTATTGCATCTACAAAAATATAGATTTAAAGGCACAATCTCTGTCAGGTTGTTTATATATTGTTAATATATTTAAACTGAGCCAAAATTACACATGTGGTACCAAATGTGGTGGTATGCCTATTGAATCTACTAAAATATAGATTTACCAAAGGCACAATCTGTGTCAGATTGTTTATATATTGTTAATATATTTAAAACTGAGTCAAAATTACATATGTGGTACCAAATGTGGTGGTATGTCTAGGTGCTGTTTACATGTTCATAGGCAGCTGCCTAGGGTCTGTTTACAGGTTCATAGCCAGATGTTTAGGTGATATTTACATGTTTAGCCAGCTCTCTAGGTGCTGTTTACATGTTTATAACCAGATGTCTAGGTGATATTTACATGTTTAGCCAGCTCTCTAGGTGATATTTACATGTTTAGCCAGCTCTCTAGGTGCTGTTTACATGTTTATAACCAGATGTCTAGGTGATATTTACATGTTTAGCCAGCTCTCTAGGTGCTGTTTACATGTTTATAACCAGATGTCTAGGTGATATTTACATGTTTAGCCAGCTCTCTAGGTGATATTTACATGTTTAGCCAGCTCTCTAGGTGCTGTTTACATGTTTATAACCAGATGTCTAGGTGATATTTACATGTTTAGCCAGCTCTCTAGGTGCTGTTTACATGTTTATAACCAGATGTCTAGGTGATATTTACATATTTAGCCAGCTCTCTAGGTGCTGTTTACATGTTTAGCCAGTTCTCTAGGTGCTGTTTACATGTTTATAACCAGATGTCTAGGTGATATTTACATGTTTAGCCAGCTCTCTAGGTGCTGTTTACATGTTTATAACCAGATGTCTAGGTGATATTTACATGTTTAGCCAGCTCTCTAGGTGCTGTTTACATGTTTATAACCAGATGTCTAGGTGATATTTACATGTTTAGCCAGCTCTCTAGGTGCTGTTTACATGTTTATAACCAGATGTCTAGGTGATATTTACATGTTTAGCCAGCTCTCTAGGTGCTGTTTACATGTTTATAACCAGATGTCTAGGTGATATTTACATGTTTAGCCAGCTCTCTAGGTGCTGTTTACATGTTCATAACCAGATGTCTAGGTGCTGTTTACATGTTCATAACCAGATGTCTAGGTGATATTTACATGTTTAGCCAGCTCTCTAGGTGCTGTTTACATGTTTATAACCAGATGTCTAGGTGATATTTACATGTTCATAACCAGATGTCTAGGTGCTGTTTACAAGTTCATAATCAGATGTCTAGGTGTTGGACAACAGCAATTTGTTTGTTTTTTTTTCTTCAAAATGTCTTAAATTTGTTCAATTATTTCAGGCAAAGGTCCTAAGTGTTTTCTGTTAAATTTACTGTTTTACACAAAATATGGCAAATAATTAGAAATGTCTTGTGACACTAGTTGTCATTTTTAATAAAATGTTTTAAGCTAATTTTGACATAACTGAATTCAAGCATTACACACATGTGCATTTATTTTACAATCGTATTCAAGATGGCTGACTGGCAGCCATTGTTAATTTACATGTGCCATACTGTGAAATAAAATTTGTGCCATAACTCAACTCACAGCTTGTTCGCGCAATTGTTATCTTTCCTTCGTCATTGCAAGCTATTTCCACCAAAACAAATGAGCAAAACAATGGGTAGAACATGACATGTGTTGACCCGGTATGATTCAAGTCATGTGATCACTGCTGAATAGAACAGACGTGCTGTATTCCCGTTACTAAGAAGTATGTTTCTCAGTACATTGAAGTAATATGTAAACCAGAAAACATGTATTATTAGACATGTATTTCCATAGTATAGTATACTGATTGTTGTACACCACTGAACTACTGAATATTACAAAATAATGAGCATTCCAATATGAATCATTATTGTGGTCAGTATAATGTACTGTACATCAATTAATTTAGTCCCATGCTGGTACATATCAGAATACCAGCATGATATAAGTTTATTTTTTTTCAAAAAAAAACATGAGTGGGTAACATTTAATCAGACTTGCTAATATGTCTGTTTTTGCTTGCAGATTTATGAATGAGGTCAACAAAATTTGCATATTCTGTTGATGTAATATTGCTTCGAAATCTTCACATTTTATATTTCTAGTGTTCTTAAGAAAAACATGTCACATCAGTTGATTACAAATTATTACTTTTACATAATGAAAGTCACACCTCTTAATATGAAGTAGTTAATATTAAAATAAAATGTGTCTTTTATTGGTTGCATTTCATTTCTGTTCTTGTTAATTACGCATATGTTTATGGCTATTTACTGTTACAACACATCTTCCTAATAGTATTTGATGATCTAACAGTGAAAATAATTGAACTTTCTGTGTGATAAGGACCAATATTGATGAATAATTCTATATTTCAAACCACCTGTTGTTGGACTATACTATTATGATATGCAGGATACTTGTACTTAAAAATGAGTACTGTAGCTGGGAAAACTGAAATGTTGATTAGCATTGAAAATAAACTTTAAAATACTCTGTATTGTGTTAAAACAGTAATGTGGTAGTTATCCTACAATTATAACAGTAAAAGCACTGATGTTTTGGTATTTGTCAAAGTGCCCCTCCAATTTCTAGCTACACCCCTACAACTAAAATGTGAATTTATCTTTTCAGAATATATTTTTACATTCAGATTGTTAGACAGTGGTATAATCTGGCACCTCGATACATCGTACCATTTTTTTAACTTACTGTGACAACAACAACGTAACAATCATTTGTTGGATTTGACAGGTAAGTCTCAATTAAACTGTCATTATTTCAGTATATCAGAGATTAGTTCAGGAACACTTTCAACAAATTTTAAAATTTGAGTTTAATTCAATGCCTTTGATGGACAATATGGACACATACATTGTAAAAAAAAAAAACGTCACTTTTTTAAAATGCAAATTTGTTGTCCTTTATTTGTTATTTCGTACTGTGAAATACAGTCCCAAACTGGTAAATCCAATGTATTTGCACTCTGAAATTGGGATATATGAGTGTTAGTTAGTATGTAGCCGGGGATGCTAAGAGGATGTGTGACAGTTGAGTTTATGGCACCACCGATAACCGACCAGCCAGTTAGTGGTTTCAATAACTTTCATGAAAATTCTATGACTACTGGGGTATATTTCATAAAAAAACATTTGTTTATATGTAATTATAATGTAAATCATATTTCTGAAAGTATTTTTGGCCAGATACTGATCATATTTTGATCAAGCCCAGATATGCATTCAGGGTCAAATATTCCAAAAATAAATCGGGTTGAATCAAAGTGTACATTAATTTAATTTGAAATTAGTTCTATGACACCAGACTATTAATATGATAAAATATAGTATCTGTTATTTAAATATAATACAATCTTTGTTATTTTTATTGTATTTTCATATAAATATGATTTAAATATGATTTTTGTTGTCTTTTCCAGTTTTCCATTTACTAATTATTGTTCTTCAAATATCTACACTAATTTTTACTATAAATGTTTTGTTTCCGTGGAAAATTGTTATATGTCAACTTAGTTGTGATGTACTTTGATTGTGATTATATTAGGGACCTGGTTTTGCATATCTCTTTCTCATGGTATCCTAGATACTTTTAAAAATTATATTTTGTGGTTTGAAAGTTGCAGCACTCATTTTAATAATTGTCATTAGTATTGCATGTGCTTAAATTTTATTCATTATTAATGTGCATATTTTAATATCAGTGAAATCCTGATATACAAATCACCTGTGGAATTCTGTATAATATATACCTAGGTAGTATTTAATATCTATCAATATTTATACTTTTGCATTGCCAGATTAACAGTAGCTTTAATTGTACATTTCAACTTAATAACGTTTTTATTGAAACAATTCAGTTATAAATGAAATTAATATGGTTGACCTCAGTTGTAACGTATGCCGCAAATGTTGGTATAGCGATGGTTGTTTTACCTATGTACATGTACCAGCATTTATAGTAGATGTTTGGTGGGGTTCTTTGCTGACGTCATTCAGGTATTCATCGCATGTTATATGATTTATTTACAGTCTATATTTAGGCCATTTTACGTAGAATTCCTGTTATGATGTATAGACACTGTGATTCGGATGTCATCAAGTTATTTTTATCAAAATTGTCATAATTTGTTTTTCTTTAAATCTAACTAATTACGTCAACTATACTTTTTTTTAAATTTTGTTAAAAGTGTATTTAAATTATCATGTGATGTCACTTGTAGTATTTTTAACACGTGTTATACATTCCATGCACATTGCAGAATTCAGGCTCAAAGTTAGAATTGTGATTGAGTTAAAAACTATGCTACATTCCAAGTTTAAGTTAAATGTTTAATCATCACAATTGTCCCAAATACGATGTAAACAATGTATTTTTCACATGTTGTACTCATTTGAAACACAACATGAGGTGGAAACTATGGTGCTTCGAACATCCACAGTTTTCTGGTAGCAACACATTCAAATTTTATGTAAATAAATAACACATCACATGAGACCCATTTTCATCACTTAGGACCAATATTAAACAAATTGACGAGCCACAAAAACTACGATGCTTTAGTCCTGACAACTAGAGTATTAGCATATTTTGTTTCCTAAAATACTGTGACCTGCTATCTTTCATGTTTTCAAGACTTTTACTAGTTGGGAAAAGCTATAACTATGTAGCAGTGAACATTGCATTGGGATTTTTAAGTCAATAAGTGAAACACAGTAACTATTGTGAAATATTAACCCTGCAAATGCTATCAAATTATCGTGTCACAAATATTTATAGCAGTGCAAATTAAACAGTAAAGTTGACTCTCTCAACAAATTGCAATTGTCAGCTCTTAAAATTGGGAAAAATGCATCAGCTTAAAGTTCTTATTCTGGAAACTTCATTTATTGTTTTGAATGTGATGTACATTCATGCAGTGTCACTCTAGAGATTTTGAATGATATGATTTTTCGCACCAAAATTTTGCACATTTTTATCTATTTTTGTATGATAACTTTCTTAGACATTGAAATAACATCATATTGGCTAAAAAATGTTGAAATAAATATAAAAAATATTATGCAGATTTATTTTGTGATATGTGACAAAAGTTGACGGGGTTAAAGGTCACTGGTTTTAAAAATGTCTCATTTTGTAATCATCACAGAGGGATTCCCAATATTTTGATCAACTCCTATTTCAGTGAAAACTATTGATTTTATTATCTTGTACTCATTCAAGAGCACAAAAACTAGTCTGGCTGAACAGTGTAGACGTTTATAGCTATCACAATGAGCATCATTGTTATGCAAATTAACAACTATATGACCCGTACCTAAGCAACCAAATTGGCTAGTGCAGAATCTTATTATGAAAACAATTCATAATTGAATAAAAAGGTATGAAACATATGCGTTAGTCTCACAGACTAAAAATGTATACAAAATCATAAGCAAATGTGCAAGAAATTCACTTACAGTGGGTGCTGAAATATATTGATCAAATTGCTGTCTATCAACCTCCCTTGCAAAATTGTAATATTTCTAGGAACATTGGCAACGGTGTTTGTTATGACTTTGCCTTAACGTGAAATTAACAACACACAATTTTGTTAAACTTGTGTTGCACTACACATGCTGTAAAGCCGAATTATTTTAACATGATAAAACATAATTGTAGAAAATTGCCCTCATCCTTGTCGAATGCATCTCAAACATTCTCAGTATACTATGAGGTTATTACGAGGATACTGCAAAGTATGCCCGAAGACAGTACAGCTACAGCGGGAGTATCTTCCAATGCACAGTGGAGGTCGACGCAACGACGTACTGTCTGAGTGCATACTTTAAGGTATCCTCGTAATATACATATTTTCCTTCCAGGAATACAATCATGGGAATGTCGAAATCCAAAACGTTTATAACATATTTAGTGAACTTCTTTGTGTGGGGTCCGGTCAAACCCTGTAGGCAGCCATGTTTGTTTTTTATTATTAGAGGGTGCATAGGCGCATCATTCCATATTTTGAATTTGTGTTTCCTAATATGGTGGGATGAAAACACCTAGTGCATTACGGCACGCTGTAACTTATGGCATTACGATGACAGATGTACATTATTTGATGGAAGTCAAATTTGAAATGAAAGAATATGCCAGCAATGATCAGATAATAATTCAGTGTTCAAATGTAAAATACCTGTATGTTTCAATTATTTTAATATTTCACTCCATTCTTTCACTCAAAATATGACTTTATCAAATCCTTAAATCCCAGGAGCATAGTCTTGTTAGGATTGAAAGTGCCAAGTAAAAATATAAACACTGCTGGCAAAGTTTCAAGGAATATTTTAAAGGAGATTGTAGGGAAATAGTGTTTTCTAGTCTATTTCAATGTCCCCTGTAACCAAACTAATAGTTTTCATGAACAGGATTGTGACTAACAATAGTGCATTCGGAAGTGTGAAAAGGAAGTAGAAGTATAGACCAAATAATGTTGTTTATTTAATGTACGATAGTTGTGTAAATTTGTTATTTTATTTTCAATTAATTAAAATAACATTATGTTCCGTTAACAAAACAATGTATTAGAAACTTATTTCCTTACCTACCATGTAGTCAGACATTAACGCCCACACATGACTTTTTCAACATTGCCACGCTATATCCTCAATAAATGTCAACCAGGCAGGAAAGATTAATAGTATGTATTCTAAAAGCAACTGTAACTTTTATTTACATCACTGTGACTCATTGTCACATTGTCATTGTGACCCCAGTAAAATCTTTGCTGTGACTATATTCCTGTTTCAATTACCCCAGTGAAATCTTTACTTCCTGTCTTAAGGGAATTTAGTGAAATCGTTACTGTGACTCCATGTCTTAAGGAATCCAGTGAAATATTTTGGATGAGTTCCTGTCTTAAGGAATCCCAGTGAAATCTTTACTGTGACTCCACGTTTTAAAGGAATCCAGTGAAATATTATCAATGACTACCTGTCTTAAGGCTCCCAATGAAATCTTTGTTGTGACTCCCACGTCTTGAGGGAATCCAGTGAAATATTCTGGATGACTCCCTGTCTTATGGAATCCCAGTGAAATCTTTGCTGTGACGCCCATGTCTTGAGGGAATCTAGTGAAATATTCTGGATGACTCCCTGTCTTATGGAATCCCAGTGAAATCTTTAGTGCGACTTCCTCGTCTTAAAGAATCCAGTGAAATATTCTGGATGACTACCTGTCTTAAGGGTTCTAGTGAAATCTTTACTGTGACTCCATGTCTTAAGGGAATCCAGTGAAGTATTCTGGATGACTCCCTGTCTTATGGAATCCCAGTGAAATCTTCACTGCGACTACCTACAGTATATAAACTGTTTACAGTAATCTGTAAAAGATGCATGTCCAAGAATTTATAGATTCCTCGTAGAAAGATCAATAAACGTTCTTGATCCAATATGTGTTAGTTATCCTTGTGAATGCAGTTGTTTACATACTGAGAACACTATAGTGGGTATACTTGAAGGACAATGCTTATAACTGTTTTCAATGATTCTGTGGGTAGTATCACATTCCTTAAACAAATTAATTACTGGTACATAGTGTTAATGATAAATTAAGAACATGAACACTTTAAAAAAGCTACATAACATTTTAGCAAATTTAACATAATACACCAATTATCAGAATTTGTAATAGCCCAGAATTTAATAAATTTGTTTTCTATTAAAGTTGATGAAGTCGCATTCAGGTAAAAAATTATATGAAAATGAATTAAAATAAATTATTAACCATTAAAATGTTTTTTTTTTTTATTCATAGTAATTTATAATTTTGATGTATTGTTAACAGAATTTCAGAGCAAAAGTCAGTTTAATTAAACCAGAAAATTTTACAGAAAACACACAAAAAAATTACATTTTTACTTGAAGCTGTTTCATTGTTAATAAATAAATAAAGTAAACAAAATTATTCACGTTATGACAAGTGTTGAAATTATAAAAAGAATTGAGAATTTGTTTGTTTTAAAAAAAATTTAAAATTTTTTGTATATTTATGCAGATCAGTTGTTTCTTTGTGTGATTATAATAATTTTGTGAAATTTGATTGCATAATGGTATGAAACCCGAAAATAAAATATTATTTTTTTTTATTATGTATTTTAACAATGTCATTGAAATTGTACACAGCTGTGCATATAATTTAGTGTCTATTGAAAAAAAAAAAGGGGGAATTACTCTTATCTACTTTTTTATGTCACAATTAAATGGTATTTTCAATGCCATTGTAATAACAATTTGTGATGTGAGAGTCTGTATTTACTGAACAATGCAGAAAGATAAAAAGCAATTGGATAGAAACATATGTCCCTGTTACTTCTTCACAGTTCAAGGTATCATCAGTACATGGCATCATATAGAATTTCTGCGACATGTTGTCATCCTGTCACAAAATATTCAGGAATTTGTCGTCTTTATATTTTACAAAATTAACCTTCCTTTTATTCAACAACAAAGCACAAACTATATAGAAATTCTTACCTACTCATTTAATTTACCATGGCAACAATATAACATATGCTACACGATTTACAGAGAAATAATCATATGCATGATTTCGTTTGTAAAAAATGAGATCACTGATAATAATCTGAACACATTGTATTGTTGTCTACATTACACAACTATTATCTTGTGTGTTGTTCCTCTTCATATTCAATTTTTTATTTTTTGTATAAAATACAGTAGCTACTTTATAAAATGATATCATGACATATGTTACCCAATTAGCATGTAGGGAAAGGATTACAGGTCACCTGGCTTGGGTTTAGTTTCAAGTTGATTTATTGTAGGTCGTATGTAGGTTATGCAGGTATTGAAACTTATGCATGTTTTTTGGCCAAATTTATGTGTCAATAAATCCCTCTAGTGGCGAAGTACTTCTGTGATGTCGAAATAATGTAAATAATATCATTCAAATAGACATCTGTTTGATTATGTCATTGTTCGTCATTTAAAATATTGACAGTCAAATCAATTTTAACACAGAATAGCGTTCCTTGTACCTTGTACGTCACATAGTACCCACTAAAGGGTTAGACTTTTTATAAATTTGTTATTGATTGTCACACATTAATTTTGAATTATTAACCTCTGATCACCTTAATTTTAGTCTCCAACAATTTGGTGCATCATTTTATAATTTTTATGTATTTTTCTTTAATTTTTTTCGTAAATTTTGGACCAAATGATCATCAGATACATTTCTTGATCAAAATTTTTGAAAAAATATAGAAAAATTTTTTTTGGCTTTATTTTGTGAAAATTGATAAAAGAATGATATTAGCATCAGGGTCAACTAAAATTACATTTTTAATATGAAGAATGTGGGAATCCAGTACCATTATCTTGTTCCTGTAAATGTATGGGTTCAACAACAGTTTGTTCTCATTTGTTTGTACTTTCTTTATTAATTTTGAATCAAATTCGTGTAATCCTCCCAAAATATATGTAAAAAAAAAAATTTTTGTGAAAGATGAGAGAAATGTTAAAGTAGACAAACACATTTCCACATGAAGATAGCTCACCACAGCGATATCATTTTGATCTGTAGTATTCTGTCAATGAAGATATAGGAATGATATTTTAGATTTATAAATGTTGTAACAGTAATTAAAGAAGATTTTCTGCACAAAATATGGTGAACTTATGAAATTGTTGATGTTTACATGCACTGTAAAGTGCACCTAATCATATTAATGATTTTCTTCGCATCGCTTTGAATTTTTACACTCTCTACTTCTTTCTGAAATTCTGATACTTGATTGGGTAAACCTCTCTTATATTTATTCATTTCATGTTATTTTCAATTCTCAAGTTTTGTTGAATTTTTTTGTCATTTTGGGGTAAAAAATGATATTTTTGACTTTTTGTTGAAAACCGCAATTGCTTTATTATTGTATATATATATATGTATAAATAAACACATGCAACAGCAGTGCTTTTTCGCCTGAGAAGTCACTTATTTTGATAACTTGATGGCATTTACAACTACAAAATTTCACAAAAGGCACTGTCACCAACCCCAATAAAAATCATCACAGTTAAAAAATTTAAGTTTTTTCTTACTCACAAAATATACATAAATTTGTGGAAAATATTTTGAACAATTGAAATGGCCTCATAGTTTAACTGAGAATACACCATTTTATTTGGTGACCCATTAACAATTAAGCAAGCTGTCCTCGGTAATCGCATCTCCTGGGCATTCTCATACCACCAGACTGTCCTCGGTAATCGCATCTTCGGGGCATTCTCATACTGTTTTTTTTTACCATTATTTCAAGTAAAAATGTTACCACTGCACCATTCATGGATACTTTTGAAGTCATGGTTAATTTGGGTGAGGTTATAGTGTTGTTTTATACTTTGTATGGTTTCAAATAAGCTAGTGTCATATGCAAATTAAAAGCCGAAAGCATTGATAGGGTTTACTATACATTTGTGTGCAGCGTGCATTCACTAACTACGACTGAAATAATTGTGAAATTCCTTGCGATGTTAGAGTGCAATGTATGTTGTCTGGCGAGCTGACAGCTTTGATGAAAGATTTATTTATAATTTCATGGTTCGCTACCATGTTTTGTTTGTATTGCCGTGTACAGACGAAAATTTTTCTCAGAAGGTTTCTATAGGTTTTGTACCCTGTTCAGTTATTATTGGTTGTTGTATTGCTGTGTGTAGACGCAACATATTTTCAGAAGGTACAGATTATATATTCCTTTTTGGTTTGATTATTGTTTTCAGGATTTTTTTTCATAAGAATAATTTCAGTTTAGATATCTTTGATGAGAATTTTAGTCAATTAAGAGAAAATGAATGGTTTTTGACTTGCAAATGTTTTGACATTCGCATAGAACATGATAGTCCAATCAAGGCCAGCTTTTGGTAAGGTGCTAGGATGCATGGTCACTGAGTGCTCCATAAGCTATTGACTTGAACTAACATCATTTACATAATAATGTAAAATACAGCTCACTGTAATGTGTAAAAGTTCTTTGGCTTTAGGGGGAGGGGAGTGGCCTTGGTAGTAATTGTAGTGGTATTTTCAATTGCGGTGGTGGGTGAAAAGCTATCATAATGTGAAATATCATTCTAATATAGATTTACCTGTGGGAACATTATGTAGCAGAAAATGTAACTTGCCTGATCTTGCAAGTAGAAAGAATGTTTTCCACCCTTAATTCTCTCTTGAAAGGTTCTTATTGAACCTATACTAACTCAACATGTGTACCTGACCCATTACAACACAATGTTGGATGAGGTTACAGTAATATTAACTCTTGGTTCTGCTTCATTAAGAATTGGTAAATCCATGCATGTTCTAAACTCTTGGATTAACTAAACTTGGCTGACAGTTTACAATGAGGATACAGGTAAAATGCATGCCATGAAGGTTAGACGAACTAAAATTTATTTGTATACTTATTTTCGTACAAGAAATGTACGTCTCACATAGAAATAATCACATTTTGATTCCAAAATTGTTTATAACTATCAGTTAAAATGAGTACCTTATGTTTGCCATTACATCCCATATTGGGGAGTACTCAGTTCACTTGCCATCTCCAGTAAAGAGTTACTTCGGACCCCCTCATCCATAACTCTAATCCTAACCTTGCAGATCCAATGCCCCACCGCCATTTTAATTTTATATACCCTTCTTCAGTACATGTACAGTTTTCTATACAAATACACTTGGGTAGGGGAACTTTTCTGCTATCTCTTTTTGTAATATCTGTTGTCAGTCTGATACATTGTGTATACTGTTGAATGGAATTAATCATCAAAAATTAAGTAAAAATTTTCTAATAATATTATGCTGCATGTTTGTTTCAAAACTTGTTGAAAAATGTCAACCAAAGTGTCTCAAGGATTTCAGAAACCGGTGTATTCTATCAAAAAACTTACACTAAATTTTGTATACTGTTGAATACTTTATTTTCACTTGGAATTGATTTTTGCTATTTTCGCTGAAGGAATGATTCAGTGAAAATAAAATCCAGCGAATATACCTTTTTTCCTATATTTTAGATTCAACTTGTCAAAAATCAGTGAAAATAAATTCCATACAAAGCACCAAAAATGTCTTTTCAGCGAAAATTAATTCCAGCTAAAACAAAGTATTTTACAGTACATATAAGTTAACGAAAAAGGGTTATGAGATATTCTCACTGTTCTCCCTTTAATTTGTGTACAAATATCTGATCATTACCTGAGTGAGATATTTCTGTAATATTCAACCATAATCAAATCTTTATCAAAGTTTCTGATCACTTTCTGATGCTAATTACTTTTCATGGTCTCATTTGTAATCTGTTTATTCACACACTTTTCAGGTGTGACTGTATTTTGGGCGTTCAAATATTTAATATTCCTCACATACATATGTTCATTTTTTTAGATATATTTGCGCTGGCGACAGTTGCGACCATTGAATGTCTGTTGTCTCTCCTGACCTTTTTTTAAATGTGTGAAGTGCAAGTGTTGTATACAGTGTTTTTTTCTGCAGAAACCATGTTTGTGACGAGATGACTTGGCTGTATGACCATCTTACATTCATAATGGCATTATGATAATTCAATGTGTAATCTTGGTGTCAACCAGGTACAGTTAATCACACACACAATGTACATTAAATCACTATTTTTTTACTATTTTCTTACTACAGGTGCCACGATAATGACATACATGTAACTAATCACAAGACTTGAATGATGGATAACTCAAAATTTAGATAACACAACTATCAGAAGATTTTAATTTACCAACAAAATGACTACAGAATTTGAAGGGGTCGGGCAGACCCCATCGGTCACTGAAATGCAGGACATGCTGACGCAGAAAGCTACAGAACTATTTATGTTATGTGATAAAGAAGAAAAAGGTTTTATTACAAAGAGAGACATGCAAAGATTGGGAGGAGAACTTCCTTTAACTCCAGATCAATTGGAAGCAGTGTTTGACTCACTAGATGATGATGGAAATGGATACCTTACTCTGGAGGAGTTTACAGAAGGATTCGGTAAATTGCTTAAATTAATTAAAGTTGAATTTCTACTTGTATTATATACCTGTATATAAATATTCAGAACAACTTTGACTGATTATTGTGATCTTTATATGAACAATTCTAAAATCACTTGGTTTGATAGCAAATCATGAAATATTGAAACACTGAAAGTTGTAGCTTCTAATCGGCAAATCAAACACAATTTTCATTGTCGTAATCATTCAAGTCCACTTTATTTTAGAAGAGCCTAGATTGTTTTCTCAAGATTTCTCATGAACTGCACATAATTCAAAACCCTTATATTGCTTATAGGATAATGTAGGGAGATTAAGAGGTCATAGAAAGTGGAAATGCTTACAGGGGGTCAGGGGTCAGAGAGAGATTTTCTGGAGATCATACAAAGTGGGAATGTAACTTTATTTAACAGATTGATTAATTCACAGCGAATGCAACTCAAATTAGTGATATCAAGTTGTGACTACCATTGAAAGCTGTTATCAAGACTTATTAGTACAAGTACTTTTAAACCCTTGAAACTGAATTATAGTTTAATAAATAATTCATTTCTATAATTCATTGACTGTTAAATATACACACTTCATTCCTGCTGTTCACTTCGCACAGCCTGTTAAAAACCATGACATAAATCACATTTTAAAATAATTCTACTTGTCTAGGTGGGTTTCTTGGTTTTGGTTCAGAGGATCCAGCAGAGGAGGAAGGACATCGTGATGTTTATGAGGACGAACAAGGTGAAGAAGATGACACACAAGAAGATATAGCATTCCAACAAGCACTTGAAGGTCTGGGTGCTACGTCACTGTTTGATGAGTAAGTGTGATCAATCCTTTATTAATTGTGCTTAATTTAATATTGATTTGTGTAGACAACAGTCCTGCAATGAGATTTGTACTTTATGTGCTCTTTTATAGCCCTTGATATGGTTAGGATTCCTGGAAATAACTCAACAAACATAAAACAAAAACAGTATAGAATCATTTAGGACCTCAAATCACTCAATTAGTGACAGTTTTCAATCACTTTCAGACTTCTGCCAAGCATGTTTGATTTTTGTCAATAATGTCAAACATAGAGGGCGCTGTGTATTTTGCTTCAACCACATCCATAACCCTATAGATCACAATGCAAATGTTAAATAGATTAAAAAGCACTGTATAGACTTGTATTTTTGAAATGTCATATTAGTTGGGAACTATAATGTGATTTGTTTGTTTTTGTTCTAAAAAGTGACCCAGGAATGTTTTTCTTCCTATAAATAAAACACGTTAAACAATACACGTGCATGTGTTACCCGATAAAACTTACAATCTAAACTCATTTCTGATAAAGCAACCCGTACATACATCTATATGTCAACCACAATATTTATAGGTATATTCAGTTCAAATTTGCCTGGTACAAATCTCATTGTATGTGTGGCCTGTGTGTTGTATATAATATTAGACTGTATACTAGTACATGTATAGTATTTGATACTGTTTATTGTGTATGCCTGGCCTGCATGATTGCAAAGTATTCCACTTGCCTGCCCCTTTATGCATTGTTAGTGGCACTCCATGGTGTGTTTCAGACTTGCTTAGGAAATGTCTCCAGTTATATTAGATTTGTTTAATCCAATTATTTTTAAGGGTTTGATGTACCTACCTCTTGCATAAAGCAGTTAGTGTTTTTGCACTCATCACTTTGATAGCTTACCATGAATATTTCTGAGCTCTGTTTTATAAATCATGTTTTTGCATGACTTGTTTTGCAAAATTTTCTTTTTGAACTCCAAAAATGTATGTTACTTAAACAAATTTCACTCTTTTCAACAGATTCAAATTTGTTTGTTTTCATCATTCAGAAATACGATTTCATTCGTTTCTGCTGTCACACTTCTATTCACAGTGTTTACTTTTAGCTGATTACATAAATTTACACACAATCTGTGAGTGCATGATTCTGTGTATATCAGTAACTAGCTTTCAGAAAATATATCATATCATCTTGGATGGCTAACACCTGGTTAATACTGTAGAATACTTTATTTTCGCTTGGAATTTATTTTCGCTATTTTCGCTGAAGGGATGATTCTGTGAAAATAAAATCCAGCGAATATACTTTTTTTCCTATATTTCACATTAAACTTATCAAAAATCAGTGAAAATAAATTCCATACAAAATGCCCAAAAAGCCTTTTCAGCGAAGATTAATTCCAGCGAAAATAAAGTATTCCACAGTATCAAGATTTGTACATCACTCCCTTAATTAAATAGCATGTCATACGTATAAAGAATGTTATTGTGTATCAATGTGTTTAGAAATGTATTTATAACTGTACTATAACATAATTTAGAATATATTATAAATAATTATGCAGTTAGTGCAGAATATAGTTGAATCATATGAAGATTTGGTGTTCACATACAGTGGAACATGACACATGTACTGATACATGTACTGGAAGCATGTATCTGGTACAATTGTTTCAGTTCAGAGATATGTTTTTTTTCAGGTAGTCTGAACTCGGTTGTGCTTTCCCCATATCTACATGTTTAGTAGTTTTTCAAACTGATCACGCTTTGTTGTAGGTATTCTGTGTTTGTTTTTCACACATTTTTGTGATGTGAATAACAAGCACAGAGTGTAAATCATTTTTGTGTATCAGGGTATATCATGAACACATTTCACTGAGATTCTGAACTCTTTGAGCACCAAAGACAACTTTTGTCACCTTTCACAAAATATACCACATTTTTTTCTTATCTTTTGATCAATGGCTAAAGACAACAGGAAATTATGTCTGTCTGGTCTAAAATTAACAAAAAAATTATCAAAAAATGTCTAAAAATTAACAAAATGTTGCACAAAAATTGGGCGGAAAAGAAATGACATTCAAAGGTATAATAAACAAAGTACATTTAGCTATCATGAATTTCATTCTCATAAGTACATTCAAATTCTAAAATTGTAAACATTCTTGCAATAACAATGCACAATTTCTTTTGCATCATCTGAACAAATAGCAAGTCATCAACTCATCCAAAACTCCAATATGCAACTGCTACATTTTGCTGTTGTTGGCCACTAGTAAAATTACAGAAAGTAACCATGCTTTCAATATTTTAATATGTACGTCTTAGGAAAGACCCAATCAAATTTTCACATCATTTGGCAAATTAAAAACTCTCTATAAACATATTTAGAACAGAAAACAGTGTGAAGCTCAACACCCATCATTGGTAAATGAGAAAATGTTCGAAAGGTGATTTTCCATTCTACTGCAAGATCTCGCATATTGTGTGCAACACGTGGGCTGAACGTCTGCTGCAAAATCTAGCGATTTGATTTTGAGCTCAAATTTCTTTTTTTCATAGCTCAAAGTCGAAAGGCCGATCTTTGAAAAGGGAATATTGCATTTAGATACCCTTACTTTGACCATCATCATGTATACAGTACATTATTAAGCATTGAAATATCTCCCAAAATACTTTCGCGTTTGTTTGTCGTCACTATGACCTTTGATTGTACTGTTTTTACGTTTGATTTCACACATAACGCAGGATCTTACAGTAACGGAAAATTGTCTATTGTGGAAAGGTGAACTATCAAATTTGTGTCTACACATCAAAATTAGCAGCTGTATGACAGATCTGTTCAATTTACCATTTTCCGTTCACTGCGAGAATCACGCGTTATGCGTGAAATCGAACGTAAAAACAGGACAAACAAAGGTCATAGCGTCGTAGTCGCGTCAAACATCGCATGGGATTCGACAAACGCGAAAGTATTTCGGGGACATTTCCATGCTTAATAATGTGCTGTACACATTTGATGATGGGCAATTTCGATTAAGTGAGGGTATTCGGAAGCAATATTCCTCTGTCGAAGATCGGCTGGTCAATGTAAGCTGCAAAATAAAGAAATTCTAGTTCAAAATCAAATGTTTGCAGCAGACGTTCGACACGCGTCTTTCATGCATCTCGCGAGATCTCGCAATTGTTCGGAAAATCACCTATTTACAACTATACTTTCAGGTGTACGATCACTGATTCCAAACAGTGCTACACATTTTCATGTTTTTTTATTATTTTATTTCTGCCTGTTTATATATATATATATATATATCATATTCTTCATCAGTTCTGGGAGAGGTAAACTTGGCCGTCTTCAGCCTTATGAGTAAGTATATAAGTCCCCATCTCAAACATTGTGTTAGCCGTCTCTTATCTACTATACCTGTCTACTAACACACTGTCATGTTATCTTTGAATAAATACAGATGATAACTCATGTACACGACCTATGCACTTGTGTAAATTTAATCTTCACAAAATGGTAACCATCATCATGATAACACTTTGAACTTTGGCAAGGTATTATTATTATTATCAGTTAAAAGATGAATGCAGCTAACTACCGGTAGTAAAAATTCAATTTTTTTTTAAAAGCACAAATTCAAAGATGTCATCAAATGAACGACAAATAGCAAATTTTGGTACCTGAAATAGTTTCCATGGAAACAATGAGTTTTTGAATTCTTCATAGCGTTAAGCTGTGATATACTGACCATTTTAATTGCAAAAATTAGCAAAATACGACATGTATATGGTGTATCTATATTTTTTTTTTCTGTTTAAATGGGCAGCCCAGGGATTAATTTAAAATTGCAAGTAATTCTTTTAGATGAAGTATGTTAGCCTCATCCATCTTTATACTGTTGCAGTATTTAGTGTTTGAACACCAATACGGCATGTTAGCAGGCAATTTGCTAGACAGTTATAGTAATTTTGCCTTCAGACAATCATCAGATGCCTGCTTTTTAGAATTTCAACACTATTATGAGATGGTTGTTCCATGAAAGTGATATCGGATACCGTTGATATATCGCAAAGTTGACTGCCTGGTATATAATTACACATTATCAATGCCCTGGTGTTCATACTCAAGTTCGTCTATGCCACTGCCAAGCAGCACTGGATGCTTGACTGAAAGCATCATTGCTATTAAACTGACTAGCAAATTTGTTACTGACTAGCAAAATGTTGCATTGATGTTCCAAATACTATGTGTGACTGTAATGTAAGCTCCATCTCATTCTGTAACATGTTTGCAGTAACTTCAATTGGAGCTTGATAAAAAAAAATGAATTATTATTCAAATGCCAAGTATATTGGCCTCACTGATAACATCACACAAACGTTATAAATCTTGTTGATATTATGTCAAATTTCTTTACTTTGTAATAGAAGAAATATGTAACCAAATGTATCACTACTTTTACATAATACATGTACTACGGTAATCATTTCCATTAATAGTGTAAATTATATGCTGATTTACACAGCAGTTTGTGTCAACAGCTAAACATATCTATCATACTGTAATATACGGTAACTTTTTGTGTTTGTGTTTTCATGTGTAGTGAAGCTGTATCTTTGTGTTCTTCTATAGTATTTCTATATATTCTATGTTTGCAGGTGGTCATCAGTACAACCAGCTGTCGTCTTGTTCATGTATAGGATTCCTATAGAACATACTATTCTATAGGTAGTAAGGATCTATAGGATTACTACCATAATATCTATAGGATTCCTATAGAACATATTATGTCTATACATGTGGTAATGAGTATTATCTGTAGAACGTACATAGAACCACCGTCCCTCAACACGAGGGACGGTGATAGAACATACTATAATTACACATGGTATTGCCCATATAATGCCTATACTGGTTGATTACATATGTCAATAGGTGGTAATGAGTTCTATCTATAGGATGCACATAGAACATACTATATTTATACATAGTATTGACTATAGGATGCTTATACTGGTAGATTACAGTTGTCTATAGGTGGTAATGAGTTCTATCTATAGGATGCACATAGAACATACTATATTTATACATAGTATTGACTATAGGATGCTTATACTGGTAGATTACAGTTGTCTATAGGTAGTAATGAGAGCTATCTATCGGATGCACATAGAACATACTATATTTATACATGGTATTGACTATAAGATGCTTATATTGGTAGATTACAGTTGTCTATAGGTGTTAATAAGTACTATCTATAGGATGCACAGGAACCTTTAATTTTTAGTCCCTGTTAGAACGAAGTCCGTGCGTTCATCCATGCGTCCATCCGGAGTCATATTTCAAAATCCTTTGGACTGATTCTGTTCATTCTTTGCATGGGCCTAGTAGTTTATGTGGGACATATGCACATGTGGTGGTGTAGCGATTCGATTTAAAATGGTCGACTGGCAGCCATCTTGTTTTTTGAAAATGTAGTATCTTGGACATGCTTTGTCAGTTTTCATTCAAATTTGGCATATACGTTATACATGTTAGGATACTTATCCATAACAATTTGTTTCAAAATTGGATCAAGGATGGCGATTGACAGCTATCTGACTTTTTGGCCTTACTACTTTATTTCCAAGATTTATGTACCATTTTCATTCGCATTTGGCACATACATAATACATGTCACTTTGTTTCATAATCAGATCAAAGATAGCCAAATAACGGCTGTTTTTATATTTGGCCATATTACTATATCTTTGTCACCCATGTTTCATTTTCATTGATATTTAGCATGTCATAAATGGACATGTCAATTCAATTTGCAATTTCATCAAATATGGCCAAGTGGTGGCTAACTTGTTTGTTTAAAATGTGATAACTTGGACATGCTTTCACTTGTGATCTATGTTTCTATGTTTTTTTTTTGCTATGTCTTAAACCAGAGGGGTCGTCATGTAACACGTGTTCGAATTTGATGTAAATAAACAATCTGTTGTATATGCCACTTGGAACCCAAGTTTCAAGGACACGCTCGTGACAACCCCTCCACTTTAATATGACAAGCACAAAGAGAACTTTCAAAAATAAAACAGGGACTATGTCATTTTCAATGACTTGTTTATTTTAAAAGACAAATCCCTGTAGAAGATAGGCATGCTTATCTTACAGGTCATTCTCAACCTTCTTTGATAATACATATAAACCCAATACTTCCATTTATTTTGATAATACATTGCCACCATATTGCCTATTTATGAAACTGATGTGATAAAAATATCAATTCATATGTTACACATAATGACTGGCATAGAATACCGTATTTCATTAAAATACCTTATCTGGTATATTGAAATACTCGGTGAACTCAAAGATAACACTCTAATTAGCATATGCAAGAATATATTATTTTTTTTTTCAATTGAGTATATAAATATACAGTAAACTGTCTGTAAAATGTAGACAGATGTAGCAGTGCAGGTCATAATTTATGAAAATTTGAAAATGTCATGTAAACAGATTTGACCTTTAGCATATGTTATTTCAATGTGTCATTAATCCATTCATTGTTGGATATAAAAATGGAAATATTAAATGGAACAAATTTATATTTATTGTTTGTAATATTATTTTTTTCTGTCGGAGACCATTCTTTCATTATCTGGCTCAAAATAGTTATTTTGGTGTATTTTTATCAACTATAATGAAATTTATTTTTTTAACATTTGGTCAACAGTTATTAACATAAAATATTGATGTCATATAAGGTTACCCATACGTTACCATTTTTTAATATTCTTATGATTTCAATAGATTTTAATTCCTTTGTTGCTCCTATTTGAATTGGTATTTGGGATTTGTGCCATATGTAACAGCTGTGCTGCCTCACAAATATTACTGTGCGCAATTGAGCTGGTCATTATTGTAGCAGTCAGTATGGTGTCTATAGAGCTATGGTAGAACAAAAATGAACTGGTTTACCCAGCATAGCCATAATGTGACTACATCAGAGTATATTCGAGCTAGTGTTAGTTTAAACCATGTCCTGCTGGGAGCTATATTATTACTGCTTGTTGTTGCGCTAAGAGAGCTCTACCATGATGTAGTTCACCAAAAATTCATTGTAGACTATCGTTGTGATCTTTGTGAAAACTGGAAGGATGTCTTCTCTAAAGCAGGAGCTCACTGGGAAAATCTTGACAAAAAAAGGTAGTCATAGCAACATGATTTATCTTGTGTTGTCATCAATCTCTTCGACTCTCACTTTCGAATGAAGTGTTGTAATAGGATTTCAAAGGAAACATGTTTTATATAATACAGTTTAAAGCAAACATACATACATTTGTGTAACTCGTCACTCTGCTGCGCTAACATATACATACATGTATCAATCACCGTTGTATTATTAAATAACTATAAATGGTTTTATGATTGACGAAATTTGTTTGATTTTGTTATCAGAAATCTGTCCATGTGTTCGTCAGTGATTTCATGTTTATTCCAGATAAATGGCTGACAAGGTTCAACATGTTTGCTATAGCAAAGCATATACATGTCTGACAATGATACACTATCAAATACCATGGTCAAAGACAATGGTTGACCGCATGCTCATCACCATATGTGTAGGTAATCATGGTCATAACCCTGAACTGAATTGCAAAATTAAATTTTGTTGCTATATAAGCTAAATTATGTATATTTCATTTATATACATTGTACAAGCACTTTTATTATACCATACCATGAAGTACCATGGTATGGATGAACCAAAACTCTATTATGGATCATATGATCAACCATGATAGTTTCATTCTTTTTGGTCTTATACATGTATACTATTAATTCTTGACATGGTTAATCATCTTCACTGATTTGGATGGATGGCAGACTAATTGTTGCCACTTGGTGGCGCTTTTACACTTTAACTTCAATATATTTGTGTGCTGAGCTGAACAATTTAAGCAATGGTTATGATTTGTGTGGTCAGTTTGTCATGATACTATTGGTCAGTTTGTCATGATACTGTTGGTCAGTTTGTCATGATACTATTGGTCAGTTTGTCATGATACTGTTGGTCAGTTTGTCATACTATTGGTCAGTTTGTCATGATACTGTTGGTCAGTTTGTCATAATACTGGTGGTCAGTTTGTCATAATACAGTGGTCAGTTTGTCATGATACTGGTGGTCAGTTTGTCATGATACTGGTGGCCAGTTTGTTATGATACAGTGGTCAGTTTGTGATCATTATACTTTTGTGGTCATTATACATGACGTTGGTGGTCAGATGATACTAGTGGTCACTTGTCATGAGGATGATACTGATT